TCAACATTGTTCTTGCCATTTCCTTAAGAGTTCTATTCTTCCTTTCCACAACTCCATTTTGCTGGGGAGTTCTTGGGGTTGAGAAGTTGTGGGTAATGCCATATTCATTATAGAATTCATCAAATTTGGCATTGTCAAATTCTGTTCCATGATCTGATCTAATGCATGCTACTTTGGACTCCATCTTCACCTGGATTTTCTTCACAAAGGCCACGAATACCTCAAAAGTTTCATCTTTTGTTCTTAGAAATAGAGTCCAAGTGAATCTGGAGAAGTCATCACTATCACAAAGATGTATCTTTTTCCTCCCCTGCTTTGCACTCTCATAGGGCCACACATATCCATGTGAAGGAAATCAAGTGGTTTTGAGGTGCTGACATCTTTCTTTGACTTGAATGAGGACTTCACATGCAACCCTCTAGCACAAGCATCACAGACTTAGTGTTCTTTGAACTTTGACATGGGCAAACCACGAACCAGGTCCTTCTAAATTAGTTTGTTTAGAAGAGAGAAACTTGTGTGCCCTGGTATTCTGTGCTAGAGTTCAGCATCATCATCAACAGCTTTCAAGCAACTCAGATCATCACTTTGTATAGACTAGAAATTAGAAACATAGATGTTCTTGTATCTTTTGGCTATAAGTACCACTTCACCAGTTACCAGATTCATAACTCTTCTAGGACAAGAACTCCACCTTATTTCCTTTATCACAAATCTAAGAGACACTCAAGAGACTGTACTTAAGATCATTGACATAGTAAACATTCTCAATTGAGTGAGTGAGTGATTTCCCGACTTTTCCAACTCCAAGAATGTACCCCTTTTTCCCATTGCCAAAGGATACACTCCCTCCTTGTAGGGCTTTTAGTGAAAGAAAGTCCATGGTGTTCCCATTCATGTGCTTTGAACATCCACTATCCATGAACCATTATTGACTGCTTCCTTTCACTATTCCCTGCACAAGGAAATTAAGAATTAGTTTTAGGAACCCAAAGAAGTTTGGGTCCTTCGTAGTAGGCAAGAGGATGAATAAAAATTCTCTTAGTCCATGCACGTAACATGCGTTTTTTATAGGTGGCACCTGGTCGCTTTTTAGTAGTTACCTTTTCAGCAAACACTTTATTTTTCTGAATAGACTGCACCCTGGCTTGGCAATTTTTCTTGAAATGTCCATTGTTCCCACAGTGGGTACACAACCAGTTATTCGGTACAGTAACATACTTACTATGGGGGTTATAAGGAGTTTTCTCCCTTTGAAACCCTATTCCTTGCTTGTTCCCACCACTATTAACATATATGGCAGTAATAGCTTCTGAGGACCAGGTCAACTTAAGAGACTTTTCAAGATCTTTTTTACTCTTTCCAGTTCAGTTTGGAGATGCTTGTTTTTCTCAATTTCAACACACAAGCTAGTTTTCACAACTTTCAACTTGTTTTCAAGCCTAATGTGTGCCTCACTGGCTACCTCTTTTCCTTTCTCAGAATTTCCAGGTCTAGACTCAGTTCCTAGTCCCTCTATAATTTCCCTCAGGTCTGCAATCACTATTAAGAGATCATCTCTCTCCTCCTCAATTTCAGTCACTCTCTTCACTAAGGTCTCTTTTTCTTTACTAAAATTTTCAATGGTTTCCTTATAGTCAACAACTACAACCACCAAGTCATCTCTTTCCTGTTCTATACTAGCAATTTTTTCAGTTAAAACCAATTTTTCATCTTCCAAATTGCTTATAGTTTCTTTCAGGTCAACTACACACACTACCAAATCATCTCTTATTTGTTCAGCTTATCTTAGTTCTAAGGTCAAGGCATCCTTATCCTCCATAAGACTATGATAGGAATCAATTAATACACTAGCTAATGACATGAGTTTCTTAGGGGAGTAGAATTTCAAGATTTCTCTAAAAATCCCTGAAGTTTACCTCATTGTTGTCATCATTTTCATCATCATCTGATTGAGACATCAAAGCAAACATTGAATCATATTCATTTTCTTCACTTTCAACTGCCATCATGGAACTGTCACCTGCATCAGTTTCTTCTTCAGACTCACTAGAGAAATCTCCCCATGTTGTAAGACCCTGTTTCACCACATTGGCAGTAGATCTCTTCCTTTTGAAGTGCTTGTCAGGAACCGAATTCCTCTTCGCTGCTTTATCAGGGTTGTATATGGAGTGTTCTTACTTCATGAGAGGACAATCTTTAATGAAGTGCCCTGGCTTTCCACATTTGTGGCAGAGATCATAGTTCTTCGGTCTGCTAGAGTTGCCCCTTTTTAGTATTCCTCTATTTTTTCTGACCATCTTCTGAAACCTTTTTGGTAAGTAAGCCATGTCACTGTCCTTTTCACTTGAGTCATTGCTTTCAGATTTGAGTACCATGTTCTTTTCCTTCTTTGGTTCTCTTCTTTCACTGTCTATCTTCCTCTTCATCTCGTAGGTTTTCAGATTTCCAACCAGCTCGTCTATGGTCAGCTCCTGCAGGTCCTTTGCTTCAGTAATAACATTCACTTTACTCTCCCATGAACTAGGCATAATACTAAGGATCTTCCGCACGAGCTTGTTCCTAGGAATGACTTCACAAAGTGAGTGTAACTCATTTATGATGGAAGTGAATCTTGTGTGCATATCTTGAATAGATTCATCGTCTTTCATCCTAAAGAGTTCATACTCGGCGGTGAGCATATCAATCTTGGATTGCTTTACTTGAGTGGTTCCTTCATGTGCTGTTTACAAAGCTTCCCATATCTCCTTGGAAGTTTCACAAGTAGAGATCCTATTGTATTCATCAGGTCCTATTCCAAACACCAAAATTTTTTTGGCACAAAAATTTTTCACCACAGCTTTCCGGTCTGCGTCAGGTTATTCTTTACTGGTCTTTGGCATCGTCAATGGAAGATCTCCGACGTTCTTCGTTGGGATATAAGGACCATCACATATGACATCCCATATCTCAGAATCTTCAGCCATGATAAAATCATGCATTCTTGTCTTCCACCACCCATTGTATTACCCATTAAACCTGGGTGGTCTATATGTAGATTGACCTTCTTCAAAATTTGGTAGAGCAACCATAAGGATCCTTCCTAGGTGTTAACCTGATAGGAGGAACCTACTCTGATATCAATTGATAGTTTATATGAGTCAACCAAACTATAGAGTACCAGGTTCTCTATGAGTTTCCACTGAGAACGTTAATGAAATAGTAAAAAAATAAGACAGGGAGTATTACGTGGAAAAATCCCTGCTCAAGGGGATAAAAAGCCACGACCTACACTGGCAGGATTTCAACTTCACTATGAGCAACTTTTAGATTACAGCCTATGCAATCTAGGAATTAAACTCTTAATCCCTCACTAACTCATAATACACCTATTACAAGCCACTTTGCAATACACCTATTACAAAGACTTCAACTCATGACTAACTCTAGTCACGACACAAACACAAAGGGTTTATGGTTTTACAAAGAGGTTCCTAAGCAACGCTTCTAGCTAAGCAAATTAGGAATTACAATGAAGAACAGTTACAAAGTTACAACTCAGCTAAGGACAACAAAATACTAGATTTAGGAACTGGCCCGTAGTAGCGTTAAGCTTTGTTCTTGATGTACTTGAGAATTGAATGCTCGAATTTGAGAAGGCTTGAATGCTTGGAGTGAATTCTCAAGTTTTCAAGTAATGTTATGTTGTAATGCTCTTGTTAATACATATTGGATGACATCACTTGAATGATGTAAGCACTTGGTTGGTCAAAAGGTAAGTGACTGCAGAACTGTGCTGCACTGTTTCTGTAGCAGTCACTTTCCAGCTGTACACAGTTGACTTTCGTACTGCTGTCAGGGAAACACAAGTGATCAGGTCCTTGTGTTGGTTCTCTATCTTCTAAAGTTGCAGCAGTTCACATTAGCCGGAGTCCGTTGATTAGTAATGTATACCAAGTGTGTCAGGTTCCCTATCTGGTTTTTAACAGTAAGTTTGTTAGATCATCAAAACATAAAACTAAGACATTGAAAACCCATCAAATCTTTAATGTTCAAATCCTTAATTCGCATATGAGTCCTTTCATAAAAAATTACAGTAGTTAGTAATCTGAAAAATAAAGTAGGTCACTTGTTACAACATCTTAGAAGAAAATAATAGTTTAAAAATTTATTACTCTGTTAATATATATAAATTAAATATTTTTCATAAAATCGCATCGCCAACACATAAGATGAGTATGACGGCTAGTTACCACCTAATTATGTAAATTTTTCGAAAAACCGAATTATGTATCTTACACCACTAGTCCAATATAAACTCATTTATGAATTCTTGCAAAAACTGTTTGTTTGAGTTAAATGTTAAACTACGTTATTTTATTACAAGATTAACAAACTCGAGTTTTCAAAATTTGAAAAACAGAAAATCTTGAAAATTTTAATTTTTCCCCTCATAATCCAAGTCAAACAATCACCTTGCACTACTACTCAATGGTAATTGAAAAATAGCCATAGTTTTAAAAGTGATCGAAATTTAACTACTTTTTATATAAAGATAAATCTGAACGAAAATACTGTTCAAAATCCGGAAAATATTTTAGCATATTATATAGGATTTCCATCATAATATACTGGTCCAGCATAATATGCTGGAAGTTCATAGACAGGTGCTCCAATCTCTAGTATATTATGCTGGAACATTTTGTGCGTTGGAGTTCCATCATAATATGCTAGAAGTTCATACATAGGTGCACCAATCTCCAGTATATTATGCTGGAACTTTCCGTGTGCAGCAAAATAATGACTATTTTTTATTGATTTTATAAATAATGATTATTTTTTAATTATCGATCAAAAAATTGGCTAGCCCGTGTTATTTTCACCTTTGTAAGTCCAGAAAACAAGGCTCATACCGAACAAAGCCCACCATATAATTTTTAGCCCAAATACTCATCATTTAAAAATCTGAAAATATCTAAGGATCCTAGAATTTGGTTCACCTTACCCTCTCATCCTCAAGTATCATAAAAAATAAAATAAAATGAACTACTACAATAAAATTCTGTAAAACCCAAATACTGCTCTTATCTTCCTCCCAAACTTGCTGTATACTGCTAAAGCCTAAAAGGTCTCCACCTTTAACATCAAACTAATCAAAACCAGGTAAATTATTCACATTCTTTGTCAAAAAATCAAATCTTTAGTGTTGGTTCCAAGTTTCATGGAGCAGCTCATGTGCATATTATAGAAAAATGGCATCTTTTCCTCTTGTTTCAAATGAAAGATTATTAGTTTCTCACAAGAAATGGCAGCCCCATCTTGGAAAGTTTGAACCTTTAATTAGATTCAAGAATCAATCTTGCTCATTATCCAATTCTTGTTTTACCTCAAGTTGTGTGCCTTTGTTGGGGTTGAATTATAGATTGTATAAATCTCAATGTAATTACAAGAAATGGATGGTCCATTTTGGAATTTTTGAACCTTTAAAGAGATTCAAGAATCTATCTTGCTCATTTTCCAATTCTTGTTTTGGGTTGAATTATAGGTTCTGTAAATCTCAGAGTAGAATACTACTTTGTAGTACTGGGGTTAGGTCACTGGTAAATGAGAAGGGAGATATAGAAACCCATTTGAACAAAACAGAAAGTAATGATATTCGTAGGAAGTTTTCGTTGAGATTGAGACCAAGGCTAAGATTATTGTCAAGAAGGTTGAAAAGGGTGTCTGTTAAATCTATGTTAAATGATTTTGGCAAGTTTTTGAGGAAGAATACAAGAAGAGTGACACTGTCAACTTCAATTTCAGTGGTATTGGGCTTGTGCTATTTGTTTCTTAGATTGACAGCAACACCTTCTCCAAAGGTTGTTCCATATTCAGACTTGATTACTAGTCTTCAGGGAGGGTCTGTAACAAAGGTTCAATTTGAGGAAGGCACGCGGCGTATTTACTACAATACAAACTTCAGTAGTCTTAAGAATGTTCAGACAGGTGAAGCTAGTTCCTTAGTTCCTGTTGAAAGCGCGGCTGTTCAGACAGGTGAAGCTAGTTCCTTAGTTCCTGCTGAAAGCGCGGCTATTCAGATGGGTGAAGATAGTTCCTTAGTTCCTGTTGAAAGCGCGGCTGTTCAGACAGGTGAAGATAGTTCCTTAGTTCCTGCTGAAAGCGCGACCATAATTGAGGAAAGCAAAGATATAGATAGCAATAAAGGTGGGAGGAGTAAAATGTCAACAGCCCAACCTGTATGGCAGTTTTCTACGAGGAAGATCGATCACGATGAAGGGTATCTTCTTAGTCTAATGAGGGAAAAGGGAACGGCATATGGCTCAGCCCCTCAATCAGCACTTATGTCGATTAGGAGCTTATTGATTACTATCTTAACTTTATGGATTCCTTTGACTCCTTTAATGTGGCTTCTCTATCGTCAACTTTCTGCTGCCAATAGTCCTGCAAAAAAACGAAAACCAAGTAACCAGGTGGTTGGCTTTAATGATGTCGAGGGTGTGGATGCTGCAAAAGTCGAACTTATGGAGGTAAGCAGCTATCATTCTGAACTCCACAGCAACTTTTAAATTTTGTAATTCTGGTGATAGTGAGTTTATTATCTCTCAACTGGCAAGCGTTTTTCCTTCTCTTTTCCCCCCTCCATTGTTGGTTGATTCGATGAGTTGTGATGCATTCAACTAGATGCTAATTCAATACTTTGATTCTGAAGATAAAAGCACACGCTTTTTTGTGTCCAGCAAGTATGACTGGAGTTTAAATAGAGAAAGAACTTAGACTTATGTGAATATGAGCATTCAGAATTGCAACAATTAGTTTCTGATGACATGACTTCTCACAAAAAGAAGTGGCTTCACTCTATGATCAGGCAACCCATTTCCAGTAAGAATGGTCTAAATTGAATTCGCGTGTAAAAACTTAAGTGCAATCTGTAATGAAGAGTTGACTGACTACGTATTGGACATACATGTCGATCCATCTTAACATAGTAATACTAGGGTTACTCAGTTTCAGCCATTTGGCTGACTAACACAATGGGCTTTAGCAGCTCCTTTCTTCGACTGTACAAGAAGTTTTAAAAGTCTTTTAATGCTTCCAACTTGTTTAAACAAAATCCTAGTTCTTTTGGACCAAATTGTCCAAAAGAGATACAGTGACAATGTTCTCCATTGCTTATTGTCTGTAATCTCCAATACATGATTGTTTTCTTCACTTTCCTTGATAACACCAGTGATATGTTAAACGGTGAGAACGAAATGGTCCAGTGCACTAGAAGTAGTCTGTTCCTCTTCACACTCCTTGCACAAGTAGCACCAACTCATAAAAATCCTCCTCTCCTTCTTAAATTGTTTTGCGTTGCGATAGCATGCGCACTGCACCAAGCAAAGAAAATTCTTTTCTTCAGCGGAAGCTTAAACCATTTTGAGCCAGAAACTTCTGACAGTCAAGGAGCAAAACGTAAACACCATGGAAGTACAACAATAGCTAAAATTTAAAATTCCCGTTGTAGGAAATATCATAAAACTTGAATTAGTTTCTTTTTCATACTAGTGCTGCTATATATTGAGAGAAAAGCATACCTGCATATATTCCTACAAACTTCAGCCTTATTGCATGACTAAAGTTTCTACAGATTACTAACTGTAACACTGAGACAAACCATCTCCCTCCCTCCCTCTGTCTCTCTCGCTCTCTCTTCCAACCTTTCTTTGATCCTGACTTTGCTAATGATTAAATGAGTATTCTTAAAGACGTGTAATACACTAGCCTATTAGGTTTATATTGTTGAATTTATTTCCTCAGAAAAGGTGTCCAATTATTTCTCCTCCCATTTAAAGTAAACAGGGTTTTGTGCAGTTCATATGCTATTATTATATCCTTGGAATGATAAGTGAAGAGTGAACCCAAGTAGATTGGTTTCACTTTGCAAGCTAGTAAAGGATCTGTCTTATGTTGCCTAGTACTTCATTTTTATTCCTTATCGGATTCTGAACAATTCATTTTCTTGTTTGTAGATAGTATTGTGTCTGCAAGGAGCTATAAACTTCAGTAAACTAGGGGCGAAGTTACCAAGAGGTGTACTGCTTGTAGGTCCACCTGGCACAGGAAAAACGTTGCTAGCTCGTGCAGTGGCAGGAGAAGCAGGACTACCCTTTTTTTCCGTTTCTGCTAGTGAATTTGTTGAAATGTTTGTTGGAAGAGGAGCAGCTCGCATTAGAGACCTTTTTAGCGTGGCAAGAAAGAATGCTCCATCAATCATTTTTATTGACGAACTTGATGCTGTCGGAGGAAAGCGCGGAAGGAGTTTCAATGATGAAAGAGACCAAACTTTGAATCAGGTAAAACAAAGACTGGGACCTCTATCACCTCTTTGGTGGTGTCACCGTATTTATCTGATGACATCTTGATTGAGTCATAAGTTACCAGTAGTATCCTTCTGCTGTTTGTGCATCGTTAAGTTGGATGTTTAGTATTAACATAGCAAAAGCAGTATAAAGCCATCAGTTTATCGTTACTACTGCAAGTTGACCCACTTTTAGTTATCTTCCCTAATCTTTTTTTCTAAATAAACATTGGGATCGATGTCCTCATTACCCTTCACCTGGGAATACTTTTCATAACCAGTCACGTTTATCATAAAAGTTTCATTGCTATGCTGCCTAGCGACTAATATTTAAGCTGAATTTAGGAATGTTTTTGTCATATCTTTCTTAAATGAGTTTAGTTTATGAATACGGATGATGGTTGGAACTATGACGGACCATTGTACATTATTTTGCGCCTCCTTTTTAACAACAGGTTTTGATGTATATACGCTTGGCTATAAATTTTTTAGTTTTATCAAACCCCTAATTTGCTTTAAAAGACAAATCATTTAGTATTGGAATGAACTGGACTGAAATAGATCGAACTGGATACAGAGGATCCATATAGCGGACTCGAACTAGCTCCTGATTGTCCGTTTGCTCTCAGTGAGGGTGTAGGAATTGAAACATTGCGCTACAAAATTGATATTTTTAATTGTTGGTTATATTATGCATTTGTGGCCCTCAGAAAACCCTTCTGTTTTTCTAGTTGCTTACGGAGATGGATGGCTTTGACTCAGACTTGAACATCATTGTAATTGCTGCAACTAATAGACCAGAAGCTCTGGATCCAGCTTTATGTCGGCCTGGACGTTTCTCCAGGAAAATTTTAGTCGGTGAACCAGATGAAGATGGAAGGAGAAAGATCCTGGCCGTACACTTAAGAGGAGTGCCCCTTGAGGAAGACCTGGAGCTTGTGTGTGACCTGGTTGCATCTCTTACTCAAGGCTTTGTAGGTGCTGACCTTGCTAACATTGTCAACGAAGCTGCTTTACTAGCTGCACGCAGAGGTAAGATTTATACATATTGCACTTATTACCACTGTTTCATTGCATTCAAAAATGCTTAGGGGTCGTTTGGTAGGATACATTAGATAAAATAATGCATTCATTAGCTTTGTGTATTAGTAATGCCTTGTTTGGTACACATTCTGAACCTATGCACTGGTTATGCAAGCATTAGTTATACACCCTATTTGGTATTATCCTATGCATAAGTAATGCATAGAAAATCATGATATTAACAATGCAACGGTTTTTAATGCATGCATTATCTTAGTTAAAGACAAAATTGTCCTTCACAATTTATGCTTAATTAAAATATGCTATTATATTAATGCAAGTTTGAAATAATCCAAATAGTGAGAAATAAAATTATATCCCTTGTAAATAAATAAATACTTAGCATATTTTCTTTTTTATAAATAAATATTCAGTTTTATACTACAATATAGGTAGACAAATCAAATAATTTTTTAAAAACTTTTTTCATATAAAAACATTCCTCTAGATATGTTTCTTTTAAAAAGACAGAGTGATGGACTAGTTTTGAGGGCATTTTTGTAAACAAACAATTCTTTTAGAAATTGTGCAATGCTTTAATACATCAAACCATACAATGGATAAGAAATATGTTAGCATAACTAATGCAAGCATAACTAATACCGGCATTACTATTACAACCTATTCAGCATTATTCTTATGCACCCTATCAAACGACCCCTTAGTCTCTTGTTGGTTGATTTGTATAGCTAGCTAGTTTATGCATATTATTGTAAATGTGTATAATTGGTAGCTAGCTGTTTTATTTGTGTTACTGTAAATGTGTACCAACTCTAAGCACCGTCCTTCTCCCTCAAAAAAGGAAAAAGAAAAAGTAAAGGAACTATGAAGGAGGGCCAGAAATGGAAGAAAAAGTCAGGAAGTTTTTTGATTGACGAGTATTCTATATCCCCTGCTCACCCCTGCATTAGCAGGGCTGTAATGTTTCTTTATTACAGCCAAGCACTTCTTCCTATATAGTTCCATTTTTTTTATAAGGTAAATATGGTTTCCGTTTATTTAGTACGTGAGGAGCCTTCTTTCTCCCTCAGCTTAAGAATTTTGTTGCCGCTCTTTATGAGATGGTGGAGAACTATGCTTCTTATTCTACCATCAAAGAAAAGACAAATTTGTTCCTTTACCCGACAAGACTGATTGGTGTACTCATAGTTCTAATAGCAATGTTACATATATATATTTATGTTTTACAGGGGCTGATTCTGTCTCAAGGGAAGACATAATGGAATCCATAGAAAGAGCAAAATTTGGGATAAATGACAAGCAATTTAGCCAAGGTACAATAGGCAAGGAACTGGAAAAACTATTCCCCTGGGTTCCTTCTTTCATGAGGAGGAATAATATGAGAAGTGATGCGATGCAAGGACCTTTGGGGTATCAAACACTCAGCTGAAATATATGTTCTTAAGCCTCTTGTTTATATAATGTTTTCTCTACATGATCAAGAGTGTAATCTCGAGATGAGTTTGAGTTTAAATGGTGAATCATATGGTCAGTAAGGATTCATATAGCCGATCCCAACTTGTTTGGGATTCAGGCGCAGTTGTTGTATCATGTGGAAATTTATAGATGAAATTTTTTTGGCTGCTGTTAACAGAGGCATAGTTGTTGCATTAGGACGTCGCCATAATGTTTCGGGACTACTACAATATTGTTATAATTTGGAAATTTTATACTCAACCATAATCATCCAAGTAGATCTGAGCACTGTTTTATGGTGGATGAACTAATATGAAATTTGTGAGCTTGGTTGATCAGTTACCTAAGTTGAATATATCCCTTTCTGCTAGGAAATTATATTGACATTTATGAACATGAACTTTGATCATTTTCTTTTCCCAGCAAGTGCAATCTCTTTTTATTTTCTTTTCCCTATGCTAAGTGTTAACTTGAAAATTGTCATTGAGATATTTATAGGCAACAAATGGGTCCTTTCAAATATTAGCATGAAAAGTTCTGTTTCTTTTCTGAAAGTAACACTACCCATCCAGGAAAAAATTATTCAGGCATATAATTTGTGTTCATTGGTAGTCTTAATAATGATTTGGTTTTGCTTTAGATTATTGAGGCAGTTCCCTGTTGTTTGCATTGCCAATGCAAAAGGGTCTAAACTACCCCTATAATTTGCCAAATGGTTTACAAATATCCTCTGTCCATTTATCCGTCTGAAAAAGCACACGACATTAATTCTATTAACAAAAATACACTCGCGTCTAACGGCAGAATTGGTGGGTTTTTCATTAAATGACGTGGTAATTTTTAACTGGGCCACGTAGCATTATTGACCAAAAATCAAACATGGGTCTTATTTTTACCCATTTACCTGGTCCGAACCTATGGCATAAAGTAATAATAAGCTGGGTTAATGCAGCCTTTTTGACCCGAAAAACAGATCATAGAAACATCAAATTTCATTGATTATTACTCTCTAACTTTCCTAAAATTCTCACTCATTTCATCATCAATCTCATCAAGCAATAGAATCACAGTCTGAAACCTATGAACCACAAGCCATTCATTATAAGACAAAAACATTTGGATAGCAATTTCAATCCCATTAACAAATCCAATTAGCATACTATACACACACACACACACACACGAGAATATATATATATATATATACACACACACACACACGAGAATTGATTTTGTATCCAACAATTAGCAAACTATAAACTACCATCAAAGGTTGTGTGGTAGGATGGATAGCATCCCTCTACCTTTAATCATACGTCTTGCCTTTGAACTCTGAGAATGGAAAAATTCTGATAGAGAGCACTTTCCCCTTTAATTGGTATGAATGCGGTAAGTCATGCTAATGCGGGTACAAGACGCTGATGGGAAGAAGACTTATCTGTAAACTAACTTTCTCCTACATAGATCTTTATTCTCTAAAGTCTTTCAAGAAGTCTTAGACGTCTGATGTTTTATACTTCAATACCACAGAAGAGGGGGGGGGGGGGTGATTTGTGTGGTGTCCAATTTTTCGCTTAATCTAATTGTAGAAGGACCTGGTTCTTCTATGTGTTCTAACTACTACTATTGCGGAATAATAAGTACAAAAATTAAAAAACACGAAGATTTTATGTGGAAAACACCTGGCTCAAAAGGTGAAAAAATCACGACCTACTTTCCAGTAGGATTTTCCCAAACTCTCCACTAAAATCACTAAGCCAAAAACTGTATTTACAAAAACTCTTTTGTAAACCTAGGATTAACTCTAATCCCGTTGTAGCACACAACCTCAACTGTTGCGACAACTTCAAGTTAACTCTAACTTGAAAACTCTGAGTATCTAATATAATTGCTTCTAGATAAGCTGAAAGGTACAATATGAAAATACCTACTACAATTGAACTAGAATAAAAGACAGACACATGGAACTGGTTCTTCTATCTGGTTCAAATAGCTTCAGGTTTGCACGCTTGAATCACACACAAATTGCTTACAAAATTGCCTTGCTATTTTGCTCTCAATTCACGTTTTACTTCTACTTATGTGCATTACCTGTAAAAGAGAACAACACTGATATTTAAGGAGTTAGTAAATAGAGATTGACTAGAATTCTGATGCCACTCTTCCTTGGTGGAAGATTTCTAGTTGGCCTCATCCTCTAACCCTATCCATCTCTTAAACCATGTTCTCTTTGTGTAAAGAGTCTTTATCCTTATCCAATATGCAACCTTTTCGATCAAGATCGGGAGATATCACTTCTGGTAAGTGAGGTTTATCGCCTTCACATGCATCTCACATGCTTGAGTTGACCATATCTGTGGTTCACTAGGATGGACCTGGTCCATGTCTGAGTTCCTTTGTCAATCTTCAAAACTCTCCTTTACTTGGGCCAACAAATTACCCCTTTTTGATGATGACAAACTCTGTGCTTTTCACTCACTTAGGCCCTGTCAGAACTCAGCTTATTCATCAATGCAAAGTTAGAAATTTTTTACTTATCATCAAGGACTAGGTTCATTAAGCTATAAACATCACTTATTCAGAATATAAAGCACAATATCTCTTCCCCTTTTTGGCATCATCGAAAAGTTGCATAAACACAATGTGATTCCCATATTTTAACAATTACTCATAGCTACTGGAGCAACTGCAAGTGTAATCATGGATTAATCATCAGTAATCAACCAAACATATTCAAACTATCAAGGAAATATAAACAGTCAACAAGAGCAAAAACAACAAACTTTATTGATAGAGAATATGATTCTGCCACAATCCACAAAAAGAAATAAAAACAGTCAAAACATGAGCAAAACAAGAAAAATCCCTAATCTGGGTCACTGAAAGGTCTAGACAAGGTTCAGGAACTAAAGGCTAAAGAACTTAAGGCTTTGAAGAGCTAGAGGGTTGGGTTTTGGCTTGGAGAAGGTGCAACATGTCTTGAAGAATGCCATTATTCTTCTCCTTTTCCTTTGTGAGCTCAGTTCTGAGAGCATCTCTCTCAGATTCAACCTCTACTAAACGAGCCTTCAGCCTAGCTATCTCAGCATCCTTTGCCCCACTCTCCTGCATTAGAGCTCTGACTTTGCTATTGATAGGTGTCTTTTTAGATGAACCAGGTTCATTGGGAATAGCATTGACCTCATAGTCACAAGCAATCAAAGTGTTGATTCCAAAATGGTCTTTGCTTGTGGCCATTTCCCACTTCTTCAGTGGCCATTTCCCACTTCTTCAGTTGATCTGCCTTCCACTTTCAAGACACTCCATCAAAACCAAGTCCATGTAGTTAGAAATGTGCCTTCTTTCCTGCCTAGGCAGCAAGCACTTGTTGACAAATTCAAACAAGACTTTGTGGCATGGCTTCATTTCACTCTTATGCATAACCTTGGCCTCATTCACTTTTGTGACATCACAGAATTTTCTAGTGATTGCAAGGGTAGTAGGAAGGGAGTCCAAACTTGGTCATCTTTGCCTTGTGTAGTCATCATACCCTTCAGAAGGGATGTCAAGGATCTCACCCAGCTCTTTTGCAACAAAAGTCACTTGAACCCCTTTCACCTGGCTAGTAACTCTACCATCCTTGACCTATACATTGGCCATGAACTCAATGATCTCATTCCTTTCTAGCCTACCATCCAACTGAAGGACCATGTCCTTCCAGCCTTGAACAACTAGAGCATCAACCAATCGAACCATCCTTGGTTCCTCCAAATCCTTCAACAGTCTACCCTTCAAAATTCTTCGTTTGCCAAACTTGGCTAGCTTATCTTGTTTATAATTAGATTCACCCTCTTCTTCACCACTCCAATATTCTTCCTTAGTAATCTTAACTTGTTTGGCTTTCACAACAGATCTTGTTCTTTTAGCCAAAGAAGAAGGTTCAATAGCCTTGGAAACAGATGAAGACTTCTTCAAAGAGGTCTTGGTTTTCTTGGGCTTAGGGGTATGAACCTCCACATCCACAGTCACATGGTCATCTTGATGGACCGGGTCCATCACATCCACATCAACAGCCTTAGCAGGCTCTGCAACCTTAGCTTTTCCTTTGTCCATTCTTTTCTTCTTACTTTCTGCCATAGCCTTTTGTAACTCCCCCCACTCTGCTTCAACATACTCCTTGTGGCCCTTCATTTTGGTATAGAAATCTCAGCAGATGTTGGAGAAGTAACCTTCCTTTTCTTGGTAGTTTTTTCAGTGCTTGGGGCTTTTGGTGTTGGAGTTCTCCTTTTATTTGGATTATAGCTTGCACCCACTTTCTTCAGAAGGTCTGCTTGGGTCTCCTTAATAGATGAATCGAGTTCATCTCCCTGTGAAATGAGATTAACCAACCCTTCAGCAGCCTCCCCTGAACCACTTCCCCATATTTTCTTGCTACTCTCTTCCACATTTTCATGTTCAGCCCCACAGATAGCTGGTCTAACCATTTCAGAAGTGGGTAAGGAATCAACCACTTCTTTCTCTTTTCCCCTCACATCACTACTCACACCCTCACTCTCCTTTTCATTTTCACTTTTATATTTACTTCCTCTCCTTCTTGACTCAGGCATTTCCACATTCCAAACAGACCCAACCAGAACAAACCTATTGTCCAAATTTTCAACTAGAACAGAACGTACCTCAAACGGGGGATTTTGCACAAATGTTGCTTGCTCAGAATCAGAAGACCCAGTTCCTCCCCCCTCACTCGCAGACTTGAAAGAATCATTAGAAGTTTCAGAATCTTGGGATTGACTGGCCTTCAATTGTGCATTTAGTTTCTTGAAAAGCAAAACTGTAGCCACAGTTTTGCGAGCAAGAATTTTCACTCCCCTTATCCTAGGTTGGGGGTTTGTGCTGGGTTGAGGAGTGGTGGAGGAATCAGAGGGTGTAGGTGGTGGAGGAGTGCCTGGGTTATGTTGGGGGGTGGTCATTTTTGCTAATTTAGTGAGAAAAGTGGATGAGTGTGGAGAATTTTAAGAAGCGAAGAGAGAAAATTTTCGACGGTTATGAGAATTTTGGAGGAGTGGCAGTGGTGATGATGATGAATTTAAAGGAGAAGGTGTATTTAATACACAACATCAGCTTTAGTGGTCAAATAGGAGTCTAATCACCCTAGATTTTTAGTTTGAATAGACAGTTAGGCTTCCCTAGAATCTAGGCGTTCTAACACGACGAGGATTCTAGTTTGGGACGGAACTGGTTCAATCGCAAAAGGATAGGTTTTTCTGAAGTTTTTGAACATAGGTAGG